ATGGGACGGAGCCCATATTCACAGTTTGCCTCCTAGTACTTTCTCTGGTTTGATATCTACACAACATGGAGCACCATATTATAAAGCATCCCCTAAGAGACATCATGCTGGTGGTAGTTTGAGGAGGTTCATTTTAAGATTCTAGCTGCCTCCACCTTGAAACGTTCCTTAAAAATGCCTTAATGGCAAGTTTAGACCCATGAATGAAGTTCCAGCATCCAGGGAGATTTCTCCTGGAACATGGCAAGCATTGGGTAAGGCTGGGTGTAAGCCAACCTTCTCTCCCACGCCTGTCACCCCATGCACTCAGCCTCAATATTATGTTACTCCTACAGCTGTGGAGAATCTGACACTGAATTTTGACCCTCCCTCTAAGCACTGGTGAGGAACGGGGAGAACAGCCAGGAAGTCCAACCTGGACAAAGGCGGAATGGAGCAATTTGTCTGCAATACATCAAGAAGGAACCTGATATCTCCAGAGATACTTTCATGTCCCCAACCCCACACCTTCTTCTCACAACAGCTCAGCATCACTAACCACTCCAGAGCACCAGGCAACAATACACTGGCAAATAAGCTCAGACCAAGGCTTTAAAATAACACAGCTAAAGGATAGGGGCTCAATGTACACTCACTGTTTCCTGCTGCCACACAATACTGCTGGCAATAGGGATGATGTTGGCACTTTCAAACCAGAACAGAGCCAGACTGCAACTGGAAGGAACAACCATAATTCTCTTGCAGTCAAAGCAGCTCCTTGGTTTCCTACCCACTGAGAGTTTAGCCCCAACAGCACAATCGGGATATTTAAGGGCAGTTCATCAAATCAAATCAAATCTGTTAACTGTTTAAGCTCATCTTTCTCCATGAAATGCGCCTAGAAGACACCCTCAAGCACTTCACTGAAGTTAATTGCCCAAACCCAAACCATCACAGCCCACAAATCCTTTTAACTTTGAGAACTGACTTAATGCTGAGCAGCTGCCAGGCACTCACTAGCTTGCAGCCACAGGAACAGCTTTCTTATCAATAAAGGAGGATTCCTGCAGACGCAACACCCAGTAATGGCAATGGAAACGACTCAAATGCCTCTGCTTTGAGATTAGGATATGCCCAAAAGGTTGCAGGCAGCAAAAAACAGTGCTAAGTGCAGCTACAGGCCAAGCAAGATGCACATTCAACATAAACAAAGGAGCAGTCCCCTTCCAGAAGCGTGAGGACAGCCAGCATGGGGATGCTATAAAAACATCAACGTTTGCTATAAATTGCTGTGCTTCAAAACCCAAGGCACTACACTTTTCCTCAATAGGAAATAACTGGGCTATCTCCAAAAGCTGTTGGTAAATGAGGACTTGAATGGTGACAATTGCATCAGTACAAAAGCAATCTCCTATTTTAGCCCAATTAGTGCTATGCTAAATCATCAACCCAGGCATTGCCTTTTGCAGTTGAAAGACACGCATCTGTGAGGCTCTTCTGTTGCATGTGGTTTATATTACACTCTAGCACAATATGCATAAACTAATGCTATTCTACACTTACACAGCACCTCATCTGGAAATCTGAAAGCCATTTATGAATGGTGGGCATCTGTGACATTTTACAGATGGAAATTGAGGCACAGAGGGATTCAGTAATTAGCCCCAGACTTGCACAACGAGTCAGCTGCAGAGCAGAGCCCATTATTTGTTGTGTAGTAACATCTAGTGTCCAAACACTGAGGGAGAGACAAGACTTTCCCCCCCTAAAAGTGTACAAGCATACCCCAAAATGCCACCCATGTCTGCGTCCAGATGAAGACCACTGAGGAATAGTTGGTGTAGTAGCATATGCTGCAGTCCAGCCTCCCCTGGCAAACAGATCCCTTGCTCTTGTAATCCAAACACCAGCCAGGAGAAGGGTTAATATGTCTGAAAGTTCATCTGCTTTTTCCACATCAGTTGATCTAATAAAGAAGATTGATTCTCCCCACAAATCTGGCCTCACTTTAACAAATCATTTGATTTGACACAAAGAACTATATTCAGATAGTTTAAATTCCACTTTAGTCCCTGAAACTGAAGTTTCTGATGGGCTGAATGCTGAGGAACAGCCAATAGGAAGGACCAGGCAGAGACACCCACCTCGGGTAGGGTCGAAAGTGCCTGAGTGTGGCCAGAAGCCTCTGCAGAGCTCTCACTGCTGTAGCGCTTATGAGCCTACAAGGAACAGAAAACAGACAGCTTTTCTATACCTTTATAAACACAGCAGCAACTCACGCTTCTGAAGCGCTTCCAGTACCTAAACGTAACACAGTATTACCTTCCCACCTTGCCCAAGCCAGTGGGATGGATGCCTGGAATCACATTCCCAAGGTATTGGGATGCAGGTCACCAAGGGGCAGAAAAAGCCCAAGACAAAATTCAAGTAATCCATGCACTCACATTAGAAAATTTTCCGATTATGTAAGCTTGAAAAGATAGAAAAGCATCTGCAGTCAGATCTCTACTGCAACTTAAACCAGAGCTCATTGTTAGCTCTCTCTTATTCCATCTTGGTCATGCCTATATCAGAGTTAATGAACGCTGAAGTGGGAAGGAGCTGATTTTACAGTGCCCTCAGCCTACCTGTTTCTATTTACGTGGCATATTTCCTCCTGCCATGCACACCCTACACTGCGCAATTTTTCTCTAGTCCCCAGGGAAGTTGTGGAATCCTTCATTTCATTGTTCATTTCTGAAGAGTCATCTCCCCTCCCAGACCTCAGAGAGCAAGTCCCAACTCTATGAGGAGCAATACATCTCTGCATTGCTGCCTGGCTCCATACTTCCAGAGTTGAGCCTACATCCTAAAAATCAGAGTATCATTTGGAAGTTAAATGATTTAAGAGCAAACCACAGAAGGAAACATCTTCAAACACAGGACAACCAGTGGAATCCCAAGCCAAATTGCTGATATGGCAAACTCCTTGCACAGTCAAAAAACCCCAGCTGACATCCTCTAACCCCCACTGTCAGGTTAGCAGAAGAAGAGCAGCATCAGATAGATTTTGCATGGATGAAGCCTTAAAGGTGCACAGAAGAAACCACAAAATAATCTACTATCTTGTCTCCTCAGAAGGCAGTGCATGGTATGCAGGTGGCAGAGCTACCCCTGCCCTTTACAGACACAGAACAGGGCAGCTATTGAAAAGGGCACAGCCACCAAGGGAGAAACTGAAGCACAAAGTGGAGAGAGACCAAGGAAACAAATCACCGCTTTAAAACGACAGCCCAGAAACCAGACTGGCCTGTGGTGGGACTGATAATAAGAACTGCAGAACATTTAGATGCAAGTCCTGCTGACACAATACTTTCCCACATGTTCTTGGACACATCATTTAGTTCCTCTGCATGGCGGTTCCAATACAAGGGTCAGTGTGGTAAGAAGTGCATTTGTGTGCCAGGACATGCCCAAGGAAAAGAGAGGAATAAGCAACAGCATCCCCAACCATGGAAGAGAACATGAAAGAGAAAAAGGATACAAACAAGTACTGAGGGGTCCTTCCCTCCCAGAGGATTGGGACTGACTTCTGTATCTGGATACTGATTTTCTCCCTGATACAGTAAGAACTAAGAATTGCAAGGAAGGACCTGAAGTCATTACACACTCCCAATGCCCTCTGGTCTCCGCAGTGAGCGCTGGGAATAGGGGTTGGGCATCTTCAGTTCCAGGCTCCCACCCAAGGGATGCAGCACTGCAGACCCCAGCCAGGCTGCCAACTCTGTTTGCTTGGCTATCGCCCACTCTACCTGGGATGAACAACCAGTTCTATGCTGAACAACTGTTTTTAATGAGGAATCAGAAGCAGGGTCTGCAACATCCACGGGCTGAGCACACAGATATGAACTGCAGCTAGAACATGAAGCACGTCTCCAATAGAGGGTGGGGCAGACAGATGCTCATTCTAATTTAAGGCTTCGTAAGAGCTTTTGGGCTATGGGATGCTCATTTTCCTGCTGAGTGTTTGTTCAGCAAGGAGAGCAAAGATGCAGATCACAGTGAGCTCTTCATGCCCTTGCATACCACTGCTTGCCTTTCAGAGTAACTTGTCTGCTCAGCACATGTGCTGCTGCTCCAAAGGTCCCACGATTTTCCTCTTCCACTAAACCTGCACATGGCTATCAGGTACAAAGACTCCAATGTAAATTCCTGCTTCTTCTTGATTACCATCACTGGAGATATATGGTTGAATTGAAAAACTTGCTTGAGCTTTTCCACATGCACCCGAGCACTTGCAAGCCACTTTTACCATCGGTTTGGAGACGTACTGTTCATGCACTAGCAGGCAGTAAATAAGCTCCCATTCACTCTCAACTTTTAAAGCCATTTGAGTTTCCCAGGGGAGGTTGTTCAGAGACACAACACTAGCATCACAGAAACACTCAGATATGAGGAGACACCAGGCTGCGAATGTCAAGGGCTGATGAACCTCTCTGCTCACAGGCAGCCTGCAATTGCAACGGGGTCACAGCCACCTTCCCTCTGAGCGCTCTGCAGCACTCTCCTCATCGAGCTGATCCCCTTTCTGGCTCTTCTCAACAACAGCACCCCCAAAGATTGAAGAGGAGCATGAGCAGGTTGGGAAAAACAGGGGGGTGGGTTTTATTTGCACGAAGGAGAGCACAACAGGCGCTGTGGGACAGACCCAGGGTCTGTGGGGCCTGGTGTCCCCTCTCAGACACTGACCCAAGGGAAAACAAGGAAAGTGGAAGCAGAATAGCCCTTCCCAGGTGTTCATCAGGGGCTGCCTGGGCAATTCCCTGAGCCTGAAAGGAGCAGGGCATTTCCAGCTCCTCTTTTCCTTGCCCTCTGGGTAGTGGAGGGAAGCAGAGGCGAAAAGCAGAGACTCGCAGACCCCCTCCCATATGCTTTCCCCCATAAGCAAAGGGCATCCCAAGCCGCCATGGCCCCCCACCCAGGAGCACATCCCTCTTTGAGGAGGCTCTGCTTTTCCATGACATTCAATGTTGCCCACTTACGGTCCTGGTTGGGAAAGGAGCCGTGCTGGCGGCCAGATGAACCTGTGGGGGGGAGACAAGGCAATTATCACTGGGAACGTGTCAAACCCTCGCCTGCACAGCACTGCTTCAGCAGAGAAAACGTTTACTCAGCTTGTGGAGCAAAACGTGGTAAGGAATGAAAGCGCCTTTGCTCTCCCTGCTCAACTCGTCTGCACTCTGCCAGCACTTCTCCCTTCCCACCCACAGCAGTCCTGCAGGCACAGACGCACACACTCGTGCTCTAAGTGCTGAAATAAGCCTGTAAAAGAGCCCCGTGCCGCTATTGGACATGATGCTTCCAAGAAATACAATCACAGAAAAACCTACCGAATGGAACAGGTTGCAGCAATCCGTTCTGGTTGAATGGAAAAGAGGTTTGGGGTGGGTTTGGAGGGGGTTTTGGATAATGGCTCTCACTGCATCAGTTGCATGCTATGGGGAAAAAAGTGGTCCCAGGTTGAAGGAGGGAGAGCAGCTGCTGTCGTTTTGGTTGAGCCATGGGAAGAAGAACCCAGCACCCTCCCAGTGGCTGGTGCATAGGTTTGTGATAAGGAGAAGGAATCAAGGGGAGGAGCAAGCCCTTTAGCAGCATCTTCTAATGTTCAGAACAGCAGAGTACACTTTAGCCTGTGAGGTGGGCTGGTTACCTTGCCTCTGCAGATTTTTCTATCTCCAAGTATAAAACCAGAGATGACGGCTCCAACTGCCTTTGCAAACCAGTCTGAGGTCTGTGAAGACCTAATTATTTAAGTCTGTGAACCACAAAACATTTTCATGTGGGAAGCACAGTCTATGAGCAAATCAGCGTCTGTTTTCTTGCAGAAAAGGGTAAAAAGGAAAAATGCTAAGAAAGCTGAGGAAATAACTGTCTTAGTACCAAAAGTTTCCCACAGCACTGGAGGATGACGGTCACATGGGAGTGATGCATTAGTCATGATCTGCACATATAAAACCATCTTGAAGATACTAACTACAAACAACTGTTACAAGATTTTACAAGAGCGCGTTTGTTGTACTAGTGTCGAGAAACATCACATTAAAAACAAACAAACAAGATCAGATAATTGCTTTGGATATGGTTTGTGTTAGTTTGGGGTCCTGGGTGGTTTTGCACATATGCCTAGAAAGCTCAGCAGCAGGCTTAGTTTATTGTCCTCCTATTCATCTTCACTGGAACAGCGGATGTTGGTGCAATTACACCAGTGCTAATCTGGACAAGGCCTGGAGTCCCTTAAGACCCTCAAATACTCACTAAACTCCACAGGAGTGATATTTTAATATTGCTCCAGCTCTTCTGCGCCACCTCCAGCTTTGGAGGAAAGCTCTGGTCCATTGGGGGAAGTAAATAGAGACTTGGCTGCTGGTGTGACTCCCAGCAGATGTTTTCATAATACTGGGCAAGCATGGGACATGTGGATGAACAGAAAACTGCCCTGAGTGGACACCAAGCCTATCTTACTGCTTTTTCCTACAGCAATTGCATCTCAGAGGCACTTGCCCCAAGCTCCTCAAAGGACTGCCAATGTGAGGAATCTTTTCAGCTGGCAAGGACAGGGTAAATCAGATCAGGGACCCAAGGGGATGTTCCCATAAACTCCCACCATGGCTTTGCTCTGATGAGCAACCATAGAAAGTGTTCTCCTGATGCATCACCCCCTCTTAACTGAGATATTCATTGCAGCCAGGACCCCAGAGAGCTGCACTGATGTGACAGCACTCTGAAAGAGGGGAACTTATCTGGAAGGGAATTAACCCAGATTTTCAGTGCCTTACCAGGTTTGAAGACTTAACATAAGAGCAACCAAGTGCATCCTGCCTGAGGTTTCTGGGAATGGGTGGTCACAGAAAACGGGTAGGAGATACAAGTCACAAGAGAGTGCAACAAGTTTGGTGCTGAAAGCCTTTTGCCTCACTACAGAGCATTCAAACTAACTGCAAGCCATAGCAAAATTCTCAGAACCACAGTTTTGCACTATTAACAAATCATATAATAGCCGCTATGCAATACATTTTCTTCCACTATTCCACCATTAACAGCGGCTACCAACCACTAAGTTTGGTTCTCCTCTGAGAAACAAATAAAGATTCCAGTTTAGTCCTTCCCAGTTAGAATTAGATGAATGCTTTATGCCTCCTGCAAGAACTGCAGAGTCAGCAGAAACACCAAGCACCAAATCCAGAGGGATTACTACCTCAAGAGCCATCTAGAGTTGAAGAGCATCCACAGTGCAGCACAGGATGGTTTTCCCTTTGCACAACAGTGCCAGGGGGAGATCAATGGCATTAAAAAAAATGTTTACAAGGGCTTTTCTGAAACAGCAACCAGAAAGAAAAAGAAACCCCTAAATCATAAGAGTTGTAGAAGAAAGGCCAAAGTCAAAGGTAGAAATGTATTCCACAGCTCTGTGCAGGGAATCCATTCCTGGACAGCTGCCTAAAGCTCTGCATCCGCCTTGTGCTGGCTCAACCCCCACTGCTCTTGGCAGGTGAGACAGAAAATTGGTTCTAAAATGAGCCCTATATTTTATAAGTTTCATAAACATTTTTTTCATAAAAACTCAAATATGAGGTATTCTGCGAGAGCCTGTGCCAGAGAGTAATGTGGGCTAACTTGGAAACACAGTTACCACCTGCTCATGGCAACTACTCTTTTAATCTTCCTTTCTGTTTTATGAGCTGACCCACACTATTTTATTAGCTGACAATTAGTTTAGGTTGATTTAATTAAACAAAATTGATTACAATCCCTCTTTCTTCCAGGGCAAACTTTCTGCAGGACTAAGGGGGTTGAACAACTTGGGCCCTGTGTCAATATACAATACATCAAGCTACAGAGGTCTTTTCCAACCTAAATGATTCTATATTCCAGATCTTTTATCCAAAACTATCAGACAACAGTGCAGGTAAATAACATGGGATGTTGTATGTATTAAGAAGAAAAAGGCACGATCCAGCTTTCTGGTTAAAACCATGGGTGATAGTTTGACATCAGGTAGCACTACTTAAGCTTAACTGGTTTAGGAAGTTGTCGCCTTTGTTTTGAAAATGAGTGTGTCTTCATGTCACAGACGGATAATGGACCAGATCAGAGAGGGACAGCTGAAAAATAACCCAATCTGAATAAAAATCATATTCTTTTTCAGGGAGAGCAACTCCTTAAACCATGTGGCTGCAGAGATAAGCAGCCACAGTGGAACAGAACGGGTTGGGAGGAATAGCAGGAACGGCAAAAGCAGAATTTAACTGCCACAGGACGTTTAGCTGAATAGGTCAAAGGTGAACACACTCTTTGCGTTAGTACTTGCTCTAAAGCTTGAAGTGGATGACAAAAACCTGTTGACATCAACAGGCCAACAGAAGGTCATCTGCAGCTTGAAGACATGCCTCTGAAATAGAGGCTGTACACTAGGCAAGGAAAGCTTTTCTGCAAGTGTTTGCTCTTCTGTCAGCACAGTCACTCGCACCCCAGCATTCAGGCTTAGGTACCGTGTGTCGGCACCATACTGGTCCACAGTGAAGAAGACAGCATGGATAGCTAGCTAGCTTTATTATGTCTTTAAATTCATTTTCATTTGTTGTTGTAACTGGTTTTGGGGTTTACACACACACACCTTTAATATATATCTATATTAATTTAATGTTTATTTTTCACTTCAGAGCTGTACCAAGAAGCAAGCCCTGACTGAGCAAAAGGTCTCAAGTGCAGTACGTACTCAACACGACACACACAGGTAGGTGGTGCTTTAACTGTAAGCTATCAGACTGGGAAGAGATAGTATTCTATCAGCACAGATAGTTATGTTTGGCTCATTTTAAACATTCAAAGCAATAACTGACCAAGATCAGCAGTGTTAACAGCCTTCTGGGTACTGGTCCTCACCCAGCTAAGCTTGAGTGAAACATTCCTGTCCCTGCCCATGGCAAGGGCGTTGAAAACATGATCTTTAAGGTCCCTTCCAACCCAAACCATTATAGGATTCAAGGATGAACTTTCTCATGTCACAATTTCATAAGTCTCATTTTGCAACAAGGCAGAACCCAGTAGTTAATGATATCTGCAGAGGCTGTGGCAACATCTCAGCCCTGGAGGATGGATAAAAATGACTGTAACAGTAGTAGACATGTGGGTGCAGTTAAGTATAGACAATGTTGTAGTCAAATGGCTATTCTAGAAGATATATGTTGCCTTTGACACTTGCAGGGCCTTGAAAAGTGAACCACCACCATTAGTTATAACTCCCTGGCAACAAAAGCTCTAATAATTCTGACTAATTGCCCTGGAAAGTTACCCTGACTGCAAATTTTACAGTTATAAAAATCCAATTTTGGAATTCCACACAGGCCAGGAACATAATTAGGCTCTACATTTTAACACCGTCTTGATCAATGGTGGGGTAATGGAGACCCTTCCAAGAGCTTTGTTTTGAAATGAATGGCGCCATATTGATGAAACAACTTGGACCCAAACCAGAAATTAAATTCAAAGTTGAAACAATGCAGCTGTATTTTATCATCCAGCATTGTCAAGCTCTAACGAAAATAGCTCCTAAACAGAGCCACATGTTTTGCCTGTTGCCCAAAAACTGAAGGTGAATTTTCGAGCCCTTTCCTAAACTGCGAGATGCCAAGATTTTTCAGCTAGAAGTTATTATTAGGACACAACAGTATTTCATATAAGTCTTGACAACGGCTTTGTATGGTTTCTGTAAAAGGAACTTCATTTTTTAAAATCAGAGATGGCTTAGATGAGTGATGCTTCCAAAAAAATGGAACCTCTCATGTGGAATTCTTCTTGCTCCATATACATGTGGTACCAGCAAAACTAAAACCTCATTATAATCAGTGGAACAACCCATACAGGGAGGCTAAGCAGGATTCACCCCTCATCCCATGTGTCATTAAGGAACGTTGTCAACTGCCTTCTCATCTCAGGACCTGGACACAGATCTAATGGGGATATATCGTGTTTCAGTGTCACTGAGAAAACTGTACTCACCTCTTAAAGAGTTCTCCAAGTATTA